CCTAAGACGTGTGTTTTCATCTTGTGGACAAAACTGCTGAGAGAGTTGCCGATTTTCTTCTCTCTAACTAGATTTGGATATGTGCCTCCAGTCCTGAGACATGTATTTCTATCTTGTGGATATTGAGTATTTGTTTTGGCAGCGTATGTCAATCTTTTATTCAAGGGCTAGGCTACAAATGCCGAAACACTCCCATTTTATCATCTTTTACTTTGCTAAGATCATGGACTAAAGTTTCAAAGACATATCGAGGGACTTTAGACTACAAATGACATATTGAGAGGGTATCATCCTCTTTACTCTTTTTAAACCTGGTATCTTCTCATAACATGACATCACCCAGGACAGCCTTTACTTGTAAAAGCATTATATGCTAGCAAAGGGTCAATCTAGATTCTTTAGCGCACTAAGTTTAAATTATTTAATTTTAAACTTGGTAGCTACTTGTCTTGAACATTTAGCAAATCTAGGGTAGTTTGGACATTCTCAACATTATTGAAAGATTCCTTATGTTTAAGGAACTTCGCAAAATGAGTCTCGGATTTATTTTCGTGACTACTTTGATCATCGTCTATTCTAGACTCAGTCAGAGTGGGGGCTAACTGTAGACACCTACTTTTGGACTCTTGTCCCGACAGGAAGTGCGATGATGTTACAAAAAAACGTTCTTCATGCTAGATAAAAATTGAAGTGTTTATGGACTTCGAAATACATTATAAAGTAAGTTAAAACTCGTATTTGAGACCAAATTATCTTAGAGCCTATTCCAATTACTAATTAGGCCTAACATTGTGCTCATATATGTTTAGTCTTGATTAATAACAGACCTAAATGCATCAAATGCAATGATTGGATCAAATGGATCTTACATAGTTGAAAAACCGAGCCAACCAGATAAACTAACTATCCAATTTCTGTGAAGCCTATAAATATAGATAGCCCTTTCAAAGAGCTTTCCAACGGTATATTATAAGCCCAATTTCGAGTTAAAACGAAGAAGGTTATCATCAAAATACTAAACAAGGCCCTAAAACCAATACCCTTGCACTTAAACGGCCATATCTCTTGATCCATAAAATATTTTAACCTAATTATAACGGCATTGGAAAATATACATTCAAATCTTTCCAATGATATCTTATTTGCCTTAATCCCACTTTGCAATCAAAAGTTATGAAAGTTTAAAAACGCGTTTTCGTAAAAGGCAAACCGCACCACGCGTAACTTTCTAAGCTGCGCGCGTCTAGCATGCGCAAGACCCAGAGTTGCGCGCGGCACCCAGCGCAACTCTGAGAGTTGCGTGCACCACCTGACGCTGCGGCTCTAAACCCCTAAACCTATATTCTTACACCTATAAATAGGTTCTTCGTTTAGCCCTGAACACAACATAAAAATCAAAATTCAAACCCTAGCATTGAGAAATCCCTTATTTCTCAAACCCTCTTACTATCATACTACTTTTCTACTCTCTTCCCAAATACTCTCCATCCCTAATTGATTCCATTGAAGCCTTGGAGGTACGAAGAAAAAGGAAGGTCCATAAACATTCAAATGAAAGATCTAGCAAACAAAGTGGAATAGTTAGTTTCTTGAGCCCTTAGATAAATCACTTTTTTTTATCTTTTTTTAAATAACTTTAATCAATTAATTAGTGTTGTTTGATCACTTTAAACAAAATTTTAATATAATAATTTCACATAGTATCTTGCATTAATTAAAGACTAGAATTGGAATAATTAATTGTTGTTTTATCACTTAAGTTAAGGCGAATATTGTTTATTTCTTGTTCTTTTCACGAATTTGAATAACCAAGAATAACGAAATTTTTTGTAATGTAATCTTTATGTGATTAATGCTTGTAAATAAAATCAACTAATTTAACTTGGTTTTAGGTACCACGTTGCATATATTGTTTGGTGATAAAAATTGTGAAAAAGGAAGAGCTAATAGAGGTTGCACTTGGGCTAGGATAGCGATCCCCCTTAAAGGGAACGTTATTTTAGTACCCTCACTCCCGAACTCATTTCTGGTACAAGTAGAACAATTTGGGCATGGGTAAACTTATGATTCATGCTAAATATCCCTTGAACCCTACTTGGGAGAAAGGCATGAACAAGGTTTATTAGTTTTCCTAAAACTCATTGGCGACTCCTTATTAGTTTCTTACAAAAAATCGTAATGATAGAATCAATTATAATTCAAGGTCCCCCAAACAGTCAGAAATTCAAATCCTAACACACCTTCAAAAGTGTAAAGTCCTAGGCTTTTAAAAGGCCATTGGCATTGAGGAGAAGGATCCCCAACGACGGGCTACCCTCCTCACAATACCTTTTGGCACAGATAGAAGGGGCAGATTTGCAAAAGATCTAGTCATATTTTCTATTCTAGGGTATCCTAGAGGGATATTCTCCCTTTGATTTACTTCAGTAATCCCATTACCTAAAGCGGTTAGAACACTCATCAACTTCTCATTTTGTTGGCTGTGTTTTTCCATTAAAGGTTTAAGCCTTGTAACTACTTTGGTTGCTATACTTTTTGATAAAGCCACATTAGTAGCGTTATGAGTTTCATTAATATCTAGAATGATCCTATCCACCAGTCTGATAACCGCTTGCTGAGAATTGGAGCCAAAATTTCTTAACTCAACAGTTACCACTCTAGCAGTTTCTTATACCATGACACGATAGTAGATATCAAACCACTCTCTATTGTTTTCTTTTAGATCTTCCATCAGATTCTTTACAATATCTACATATTGTATGAATATTGTATTGAGTAAGCCTTTGGTGAGAGAATGACTTTCTTCTCTATCTAGGATCAACTCATCTTGCCTTTGTTTTTGAGGCTCAAGTTGTTCAGAAGAGTGTGTCACACATACAGTTTGCAGTTGATTTTTTATATCTTTTTGATCCTCTAAAATGTTCTCAGGATTAATTTTAGATGATTTAACATCTTCCTGATCAGTAGTCCCTTAATGTGTTGAATGCTTAGGAGCCATGGGTGAAACATCCAAGTAACCAGAGTTAAATGGATTTAGTTTAGTGTCCTCCCACTATGGTCGTCAAAAAACTTGTTGAGGAAAATATTGTTCTTTGCAAACAAGTCAAATACCCTACCTTGTTATAGAGTATTAGGGGTATGCCCCTCGAGTTACTAGTTTCAAAAGATTGATAACCTCACTAACGTAACAAAAATAAACAATAAAGAAGCTTCCCAAAGAAATTAAATAAGTTAAATTTCTTAAAGAAACGAGTAGATAATAAATATATAACAAAAGATGCAAATGCTCTCCATTAATTAAAAGATAAAGTCAAGTCTACAATTGTATAAGTTGAAGGAAAGATTACCTCCATGTTCAAACAATTGGAAAAGACAATCGGTCTTCAATACATGTTACGGGGTTGTTTGGTTGACAAAATAAAATGAGGGAAGTGAAAATTCATGGGATTTTGTAATTTTGGTAGTTGTTTGGTTGACACAAAAAAGCAAAAATAGGGGAAGTTGGAATTCATGGGAATTTCCACTCCCACAAAATGTAGGAAGTAAAATACCTAGGCCCCTCTTGGTCTTTTAAAATTCATGGGAATTCCAAGTTCCCATTATCACAACCAAACAACTTAAAGATTTCCTAGGAATTTCATTTGGGAAATAATTTTCCATGGAATACAACTTCCTACGGGAATTTATTTCCTGTATCAACCAAACGAGGCCTATGAAAAACTACACTATCGCTTGGCTACTAAGCCAAGGGAAAACTAAGAAAGCTAAGAAGAAAGCTTAAAGAAAATGAAATGCTTGTTGTTGATTGATTTGCTGATGTCCTTCATACGGTTTCCCTCCCTCTATATATAGAAAAATTAGAGGTTCTGGCTGCTGACTCCAGTAACTGTTGTGCAGTTACTCTTCTTGGCGCCAACTTCTTTTTTGAAATCAAATTGCCTTCTTTTGCCTCCAAACCGGTCTTTTCCTCATCTTGGGCCTTTGATTAAATCTAGCCTACCTTCAATTGCTACCATCCACTGACCCAAGGCCTTTTTACCATAATTACAGAGTTTATTTAGCTCGGTCAATGGGTCAAAGTCAAAAAAAGTAAAAAAATTAATTTTTAGGTGTAACACTAATGAGCTTCATTAATCTTCAAAAAGTTGATTACAAATCATCCAAGATCACAAGATTAAGTGTTTCTCTCTCTAAGATTAAGCTAAGAACCCTAGGATTAATTTAAGCTAAGTTGTTCTAAAAATGTCTTAACTGAAGTCTTACATAGCCCATACAAAACTAGGTTAGAATCGGGAAATGGTTCGGTCAAACTAAGGGTAGGTTCGACTGAACAGAGGTTAGGTTCGACCGAATTGAGGGTAGGTTCAATCGAACCTCCCCGTGCCAGGTTCGATTTCCAAGTTGTGCCTCGGCAAGTGTAAAAACTCAACCTGAACTTGGCACGGGAAAGTTCGGTTGAACCTACCCTCAATTCGATCGAACCTACCCTTAGTTCGACCGAACCATCACGTATATACTCCCATCGTTTTTTTTTTTTGTTTTTTTTTTTTTTTTTAATGCATCACTTGAGTTTTCACACTTGCTTAGGCACAACTTTAACCATCAATATCTTTAATTAGGTATTAATAAAAATTAAAAAAAAAAATTATATTATGAAAGTAGACATTGTAACAAATCCAATATATTACATGATCATGTTTATAAAATCTTTAGTAGTAAAAAAAATTTAAGTTAAAATTAACATATAAATAGTACAAAATTTCAAGTGATGCATTTAAAAAAACAGATGGAGTATTTAATGGCAGAAAAGAGTGAGAAATAATAGAAAAGTAGTATAGGTAGAAGTAGTAGGAGAGAGATAAATAAATAAAGTATTTATTCAAGTGGGGTTAGTGAGAGAGAGAAATAATAAAATATTAGTGGATCCTTCTCAAATTAAAAAGGTAATACAATTATTATGAAATAAATGTATTAGTAAAAAGAAAGTGTTGCAATTATTACAAAATTGAGGGACTAAAATATACGGAGTAACAAATAGAGGAAGTCAATTGACGTTTTGCTTGTTATTCTTGTTCCCCACGGCTCAAAACGAAGTACATTTTCCATGAGACTTCCAACTAATTGACATTTAATAATTTCCTCAATCAAACAACACTAAGTATATATACAAACTTACTGATTTCTAGGCTTTCTTACATACACAAAACAAAATGGATCACAATTCAATACTACTCTACTTTGCAATCTTTGTAGTCTCATATATATTGGCTAAAACTTTTTTACACAAATTCAAAAACTACCCACCAAGCCCTTTCCCTATTTTACCCATATTAGGCCATCTCCACCTTCTCAAAGACCAAAACTCCATTCACCGAACCTTATCAAACCTCTCTCAAAAACTCGGTCCAGTGATCACCCTTCAGTTTGGTTCTCGCCGCGGCATCCTCGTCTCCTCCCCCTCCGCAGCCGAGGACTGTCTTCACCACAATGACATCAGCTTCGCCAACAGACCCCGCCTCGTGGCAGGCAAGATCCTAGGATATGATTACACCACCATATTGTGGGCCCCACACGGCCCTCTATGGCGTAACCACCGTAAGATTGCAGCAACCGAGATTTTGTCTTCTCATCGCCTTCAACTATTGGCTAACATACGAGCCGATGAAGTGAGATCGCTAGTAAAGAGACTAAGTCAAAAGGGTGGTGATGAAGTGGTGGTGGAGATTAAGGAGGCGCTTTTCGAGCTTACGAATAATGTGATGATGAGGATGATTGCCGGGAAGAAGATCTATGGCGAGGCTGTTGTGTCTAATGAAGCAAAGAGATTTCGAGAAGTTGTTAAGGAGTTGATGGAAATAGGTGCACCATCAAGTGTTGTGGATTTTTTCCCATTCTTGAAGTATTTGGGGATCCATATTAGTAAGGAGAAAAAGTACAAGGCTATTTTCATGAAATTTGATAAGTTTTTCCAAGATTTGGTGGATGAAAAACGACGTAAAGCACACGAACAAGGAGTGATTGATTGTGGTGGGAAAAACAAGACTCTGATTGAAGTTTTGATTGAGCTACAAAACTCAGATCCTTCATTTTTTGTTGATGACATAATAAAGGGTCTTGTTCAGGTAAATTAATTACTTCTTAATCTTTTATTATCTTTAATTTATACTTTGGGTCTTGTTTGGTTGACAATATAAAATGGGGGATGTGGAAATTTATGAGATTTGATAAATTGAGAAGTTGTTTGGTTGACACAAAAAAGCAAAAATGGAGGAAGTGGAAATTCATGGGAATTTCAACTTCCCACAAAACAAATGAAGTAAATTACCTAGCCCCCCAGGTCAATTAAAACTCATGGGATTTCTCAATTTCAACATTGCCAACCAAACAAATTTAGGAAATTCCTAGGAATTTCATGAGGGAAATAACTTCACATGAAATGCAATTTTCTATGGGAATTTAATTTCCAAGTATCAAATTGTACTACTTATTTTATTTTCTAATTAGATGGCTTGATTGGTTAACGGTACAAGTTTATTATGGTATGCTTATTAAACTACTACTACTTTTTTAACATTTTAATACTTAATCTATATGTAAGGCCAACCTTTAATGTAGAGTACAAGTAGTAGTATTAGAATATGGAAATTAGTTATTGATTGATATGTTTTTTTTTTAAAGCAAGTTGTATGAAGGCCATCTCGAGATTGGTGCACCATTTATAATTAAATTTGAAGCTTTAACGGGGAGAATAAAAATGAATGTTAATTTACACATTGATATAATATTCAGTAATGAGTCTCTCATATAAGTCTTAAAATAAAACTCTAATTTGCCTCTCTCTTACGCATGATAGTTAAATAATTATGCAATTTGATACATGGGCACTAAACTATTTAATCAGTATTAAGTTGCAGTTGGGTCTTTTCAAAAAAAAAAAAAAAAAAAAAAAAGTTGCAGTTGGGCTGCTGAATTTATTAAATGTTTAGGTGAGCATTTTTAATAGTGGGGAATTGTTAATTTTTGGCTTATGCTCTCAATTATGTAACTCGTATGTGATATGTCCAAGTCTTCTAAATTGCAATTCGTAGGCCATAATAGAACTTGATTCCGATCCCTTAAAGGGGTAGAAGAGAGGAAACTCTGATGATCTATTTGATAAGCGATCATAAACTGTGGGGCTGGTAATAGTTTTCTGTGTAATTTATTTTGCATGAAAAATATTATGGTCATTATTACCATGTCACTGGGACATGACACCACTTTTACGAACATGTGTTTTTGTTTACAAATTTTCATAACCACACAATACCACCTCTAAAATGGCAATGAACAGCTATGAAAATTTGTGAAGAAATTGAGGTGAGGTATAAGGGAGACTAATAACATTATGTTACAGGTATGAGATAACTAATATAATCGAAAAATATAATATTGATTATCGAATATCTCTAACACATTAATTATTAAAGGCATTGACACCTTACTTTGATTTAGTGAGGTTCGAATAAATTGTTGCAGTAGCTGGATTTGTAATTTCTCAATTGTTCTTCATATAACCCTAATTACCCAATATCAGTTTATAATGTGATAGATCATATTGTTGCAGTAGATGGATTTGTCATTTCTCGATTGTTCTTCATGATATAACCCTAATATCCCAATTTCAATTTCAAATGTGATTCATTTAAGAGAGTGAGAGATTGACCAAAGTTGGAGTAATCGTAACTCTTAATGGAAAAAAAAAAAAAAAAAAAAAAAAAAAAAGTCAAGTGGAAAATGCAAGCAATTGGGGTAATAGTAATGCGGTAGGTTAGGGGTAATAGATGGCCTAAGTAAAGTGTCTGAATATGTAAAAATCAAAATAATGCAATTACTTTGAAATAATGAGGGAGCTCCATTTCCTCATTATGAGAAACACTTTTGTTTTTCATAATGACATTTTGGAAAATAGTGTAATGTTTTTTATTGGTGGGGACCGCGTATGTGTCATGAGTGGGAGCTCCATATCTTGACACATATCCCATGAGAAACAAAACTTGTTTCTCACAATGAGAAACAGAGAATTACTCTGAAATAACTGAGTAAAAAAACAGAAACAATACAATATAGAAACTGAGTACTTTTTTTCTTCTCGCTCGTCTCCTAGCTCATTTTTATATGCCTTAGAGTAGGCAGTTTTCAATTTTCTAGAAAAAGTGTTGTAATGAAAATTGTATTTCTCATCCAAATTTTGTTTTAGGATTTGTTGCTAGCGGGAACTGAAACATCAGCTAGTGCAATGGAATGGGCATTATCATTGCTATTAAACAATCCAGAAGTTCTACGCAAGGCACAAATTGAGATAGATCACCATATTGGAACTGATCAACGCTTGATCGAGGAATCCGACTTAGTTCATCTTCCATACCTCCATTGCATCATTAAAGAGACACTTCGGATATACCCTGCTGCCCCAATACTACCACCTCGTGAGTCCTCATCCGATTGTGTCGTGGGAGGTTATCATGTTCCACGAGGCACTCTCCTTACATTGAACATATGGGCAATACAAAATGATCCAAATATATGGAATGAACCAAGAAAATTCAAGCCTGAAAGGTTTGAGAATGTTATAGGTGAAAGGATCAAATACGAATATATACCTTTCGGATCAGGAAGAAGGGCTTGTCCAGGGGAGAATTTGGCAATGCGGATAATCGGATTAACATTAGGAACGTTAATACAATGTTTTGAATGGAAAAGAATTGGTGATCAAGAGGTTGATATGCTAGAAACTGTTGGAGTCTCTATGTGGAAATCTAACCCTTTAAAAGCAAAGTGCAAGACTCGCCTGAATATGATTAAGTTTTTATAAGCTTTTTATTTGAAATAAGCATAAAAATTCTATCATGTATGTTTAGTTTGCCGTTCGAATTTTACATGAATAATATGGAGTAAGCTTTATATTCTTAGTACTATACTACTATGTATGTTTGATTGAATATAGATTTCTTTAAGATTGTGTTTAAAAACATACTTTAATTTTAATGTGTACGAGAAACCTAACTCGACAATTATTCAACGAAAATAATACGTACATGCTCATGTCATACTTCAACTAATCTTGTTCCATTGAACAATTTAAAAAAAACTACTAATTAGGTGAAAGCATGAGAAAAAAATTCAACATTTTAAACATCATATTCCAAGTTCATTACTGACTAGTTCATTCAATTTAAACACTAACTAAGCAATATTGTGATTTGTGAATATTAATGACATACCTCATGCAATATTTCACCATCTATCAAATTTAATTTGTAATGGGCTGAAGTTTGATGGCTGGCCGGGTTTACGAGTTTCTGGTTCTTGTTTTTTTTTTTCTTTTTTGACAAAATCCAGTTTCTAGTTAATTAGTATACTATTCTCTAATTTTATTCATTTTATTGATTAAAACTTATTTATATATGAAAGATTTTTAACTTATAATTGACTTTCTTGACTTTGACTAAGTGGGAAAGTCCTAGAGTTAGTGAAGGGTCTTTGGTTAGTTGGATTTAAAACATAATAGCCATTGGGCTGATATCGCATTAGAGCCCAACTGCATTAAAACCAGATTGGAAGGCTAATGGATGACTATTAATTTTCAAAGTAGAGTTGTCGCCATGAAACCTAACTGCACAGCAGTTATGGGAATCCACCATAATCGCTTTGTTTTGCTTATAAATAGAAGTACAGAGATCGAAAGAAGACAACAACAAACAACTCAACAACAAGCATTTCATTTCTTTTAAGCTTTCTTCTTAGCTTTCGTAGTTTTCCTTGGCTTAGTAGCCAAGCGATAGTGTAGTTTATCATCTAGCATGTATTGAAGATTGTTCGTCTTTTCTAATTGTATGACCATGGAGGTAAACTCTCCTTCAACTTGTACAATTGTAAACCCGACTCTATCCTTTCATTAGTGGAATGCGTTTGTATCTTTTGTCATATGTTTATCTACTCATTTCTTTGAGCAACCTAACTTGTTTTACTTCTTTTGGGAAAGCTTCCTTATACGTTAGAAGGGTTATCAACCTTTGAAATCATGAACTCAAGGGGCAGCTCCCTAATAATCTAGAACAAGATAGAGTATTTAACTTATTGGTAAAGAGCAATACTTACCTCAACAAATTTTTTGGCGACTACGGGGGAGTATACTAGACTTAATCCATTTAACTCTTGTTAATTTGGAATTTTTTTCCCATGGCTCCTAAGCGTTCAGCACGTAAAGGAAATACTCAGGAAGATGTTAATTCATCTAAACACAATCCTGAAACTATTTTAGAGGATCAAGAAGATCTAGAGAATCAACTGCCAACATAACACATGACACTTTCTTTCAAACCATTTGAGCCTCACACACAATGGCAAGATGAATCATTTTTAAAAGGAATGGAAAGCCATTCCCCTACCAGACACTTACTTAACCCAATTTACACGAAATATGTTGAAATCGTGAAGGTTCTCAACATAACTACTATCGTGTCATGGTAGAAGAAACCGCCAGAGTGGTAAATGTCGAGTTGAGAAACTTTTGCTCCATTACCCAACAAGCGATTACCAGACAGGTAGATAAGATTACTCTAGATATTAATGATACTTTGAACGCTACTAACGTGGCATTATTAAAAAGTGTAGCAACCGAGGTGGTTACAAGGATTGAACCTTTAGTGGAAAACATAACCAACTCAATAAGAAGTTGAGGAATGTTCTAACCACTTTAGGTAGTGGGATTACTGAAGCAAATCAAAGGGATAACGTCCCTTTAGGATACCCTAGAGTAGAGAATATGACAATATCTCATGCAAATCCGCCCCCTCTATCAGTTCCAAGAAGCATCCCTCCTATTGGTTTTGATGAAGGGTATAGGAGTCCAGGAAGAATTAATGGTTCAGGGTCAAGTTACGAGTCAGGCTATAACCATAATGGCCAGGGTCTATCTTCTTCTTCTTTGCCTCCACCGAGTACCACACACCCATTAACCTCTTCAATGGGTAACATACCTCCTTTAGGAGCAGAGATTGGTTTCAATTATGCCAACTATGGTATTGGAAATCTATCAAATCAAGCATGCTACACACAAGCTGTTGTATCTGCACAAAGGATGTCCTCTCAACCTATAGGCATGAATGGTCAATAATCATCCACACAACTTGGGAATTATAACCATTATCCACATGGGTACTCAAACCCTGTCCACCCTATACAAGGTTCCTCATGGAATTAGGGTCAGGCTAATGGTCCATTTGGAGACATGTATCCAGCGATGTCTCAACCCAATCCTAAATACGTTAGGAGGGACAGGCGTTGGATATAAGGGTTTCCACAATCCTCAAGGGAACCAATATAATCCTTTTCACATGCAAGATACACCAGTCCATCAACTTAATGGTCCAATGCAAGGTCAGCCTCCACAAATGGGACAGGAGCCCTTGCTTGGACAATTGAAGGAGATCATCCAGAAGGCTATAGGTCAGAATGGTGGATATGCTTGAAGGGGAACCTGCAGTCCATACCCCGAATGGATTGGTAAGATGTATCCTTTCCCGAGGGAATTCAAAGTTCCTGAATTCTCACCTTTCTTCTCTGGCGATAGTACAATGTCTGCTGAGGAACACTTGGTCAAATTCAACTATTAGTGTAGAGAGGCGGCGGATAATGAATTCCTTAAGCTAAGAATGTTTTTCAGTTCTCTTACTAGTACTTCCTTTTCTTGGTTTAGTCACTTACCACCAAATTCAATTCATAATTGGCAAGATATGCAAACACAATTTGTTCGCCATTTCACTAGAATTGAAGCGGATGTCACTATAGGTGATCTAGGCAAAATAGTGCAGGAAAAAGGAGAACTCGTAGGGGACTACATTCACAGATTTAAAAACGCTAAGATTAGTTGTCTTTTAAATATACCTGAGTTAGAATTCGTGTCTATCATCCATAAGGGTTTGTCTTTTCCTTTCATGAAAAAGTTTGAAGGACAGTACTTCCCTGATTTTGTTGCTTTATCTAGTGCTATAATGGCTTATGAAAGATGTTTAAAAGAGGAATCCAGATCTAAACATAAATGTTATGCTAGTATGGCTGAAGAGTGTAAACAGAAGATGACATGTGTGAGGTAGCGATAGCTGAGTTTGTACAGGGTCCTTTGTTTAAGTGTCCTCCTTTAACTATTAAAAAGTTCACTTATAAGAAAGATTTGAGGTATGATAAAAAGAGGGAATACACATTCGATATTAGGAGATGTGATGAAATCTTTGATTGACTTCAAAGTCATAAAAAGATTAAATTAACAGGGAGACATAAAATAAGAGGTCGTGATGAGGTTAAAGGAAAGAATTATTGTAAATGGCATGATGCTTTTACACATAAAACTAGCGATTACATAATATTAAGGAATAAGGTTCAAGAAGAAATCGATAAAAAGCACATAAATTTTCCTCATGAAAAAGTTAGCTCTTGTGAAGTAGAGTCAGAGTCCACCTCAGAGCCTGAAGTGTATGAAATGAATTGTTTAATGGTAAGTGCTGGCATGGATATTGTGCAGGGTGAAATACAAGGACTTAAAGAGGTTACTGTTGCGGTTAGATTGTATGAAAGGCTAGTCAAGGAAGGAGTAATTGTGTCACCTCTATTCCAAGACGATGACTATGAAGATATGATGATATGTAGATGGTACTTTAATTCTGCTCATGCTACCTGTGAATGTTTGGCCTTCAAAGATTTTCTGAATAAAAAGATCAAAACGAATGCAGTAATTATTTCAGAGCAAGAATATCAGGCGATCAAACTTGTTGAATTCAATCATAAAGGGAAGGAGGACAATGCTAGGCCCGTTGGGAATGGTCAAAAGACTAATAAGTGATCTGATAAGATAAGCAATCACAAACAAAAGGCACAGTCTTACAAAGAGGCAATTTAATTATTTCCCTTGCAAACCAAAGCAATAGAGGGACTTAAGAATTTATGATACAATCTTTGTCATTCTTGTGTTGATTTGTTGCATTTTGAATTGGTCAGGACTAAGACCACTCCAAATGATCCCAATTGGTTACCCAGACACCAAAGAACTCACCATAAGAAGAAAATAAAAATCAACAATCTGATTCATTCTATAAAAAACAGGTTAAGTTTCCGTAAGGTGAATGAAGGAAAGGAAAACTTTTTACCTATGGCCAAAAGGGATAACTATGTGAGCATGACAAAGAGAAAAGAAGGAGTGTTGAAGGATAAAGTGACAAAGAATGATAATCTAAAGCTCAAGGAAAAAAGGAAATCCATAAAAAAAGGCAAAGTCGGTCAGAAAGAGTGTAAGGAGAAAGATTCAAGTGATGCCAGTTCAACTGGATGAAGATGCTTTGAAGAAAGGTATCCTCAGAACCATTCTATCACAAATTGTCCAACCTGAAGTTGACATGGTGATTGAACAATCAATGGATGGTGAAAAGTCTATTGAACTGCCTAGCGATGACATCCTAAATCATCCCATAGTGATGGAGCTGATGGAAAACATTCCGGAAAAGGACCTACCTCTAGAGTATCATAAGGAAGAAAGCTTAGGTGAGGATCTAATGGCCACAAATCAACCAACATCTAAGTTAGTAGACTATGACCTAAAAGGTATTGATTTGGAAGTTTCAAGATCAAATCTGGAATTTCCGTCAAAGTATTTAGAGGAGAATTACGAGGAACATTGCTATACCGTGACTTTACCAGTGGAGTTTAGAGCTCAAGTGGTGAAGCCTAGTACCAGTTTATGGGCAGATGAAGTGAATCAGGCAGAAGCTGCAGGTAAGTATAAACTCTCTACTAAATCTGCTAAATTGAATAAAGCATCATCTAGTTCACCTAGTTGAGAAACGGTAACACATGATCAGGAACAGTTATTCATTCGACATTTGTTAAGGAATTACGATGTTAATTAATGCACATAACAAACCTCTTTTTGTGACTGTGAATTTTGAAG